AACATAATTATGGGTATGCTGTAAACACATTTAACACAGTGATTCCAACAACATGTGTTCATCAGAGTAGAGTGACTACTGTAACATAATTATCGGTATGCTGTAAACACATTTAACACAGTGATTCCAACAACATGTGTTCATCAGGGTAGAGTAACTACTGTAACATAATTATTGGTATGCTGTAAACGAATTTAACACCGTGATTCCAACAACATGTGTTCATCAGAGTAGAGTAACTACTGTAACATAATTATCGGTATGCTGTAAACACATTTAACACAGTGATTCCAACAACATGTGTTCATCAGAGTAGAGTAACTACTGTAACATAATTATCGGTATGCTGTAAACACATTTAACACAGTGATTCCAACAATATGTGTTCATCAGAGTAGAGTGATTACTGTAACATTATTATCGGTATGCTGTAAACACATTTAACACAGTGATTCCAACAACATGTGTTCATCAGAGTAGAGTGACTACTGTAACATAATTATCAGTATGCTGTAAACACATTTAACACAGTGATTCCAACATGTGTTCATCAGGGTAGAGTAACTGCTGTAACATAATTATCAGTATGCTGTAAACGAATTTAACACAGTGATTCCAACAACATGTGTTCATCAGAGTAGAGTAACTACTGTAACATAATTATCGGTATGCTGTAAACACATTTAACACAGTGATTCCAACAACATGTGTTCATCAGAGTAGAGTAACTACTGTAACATAATTATCAGTATGCTGTAAACACATTTAACACAGTGATTCCAACAACATGTGTTCATCAGAGTAGAGTGACTACTGTAACATAATTATCAGTATGCTGTAAATGAATTTAGCTAAAAAAGACAAAGGAAAAAAAGACCATGGGAAAAAAAGTCAGACAGAAAATTAAACAGGTAAAAAAGTATTTTGGAAAACAGAATCAATAACAGCTAAGCCTAAGCAAGTTATTGAAACCATGTAAACCAACTGAGTTAATAATAAAGCTGTTTTTAATAAGTTTTCTAATCAACGGCTTCCCATTATTGTTCAACACTTGCTATTAAACCTTACTGTTCTGTTTATCCTTTCTTATAATTTGTTTGTTACTCATGTGCGTGATAATAAAAAAGTAAAATGCTTATTTCAAAATTTGTCATTTTATACCATTCCCACGATATAGGACTTACTTTTGTTTTTCACTTTTTTACCTGTTTGTGTAATTTTTCTTTGTCTTACAGGGTTTATTATGTATGTGATAAAAAACAAGTAAAAATTCTTATTTTGGAATATAGGACTTATTACTTTTTTACCCTTCTCTCTATTACTGCCACTGGCTGTAAACCGTAGAGTACTGAAGACTGCAGTCACAGTACGTGTGTAAATCTTGAAGATGCACATCTTATGTAGTCCAAGTTCATTGTGTCAAGATGTTTCTTTACAGAACGCTTTTTAGTTCCTTGTAAGGAAAGAGTGAAATGTAATAGACCCAACAAATAAGTTAATTTTATTGAAATGCATTTTTAGACGGGTTGAAAGCTACACTAAGATACAGCTTCTAGGCAGCTATAGGACAGAGGAAGTGATAACTAAAATATAATTATGTTTTAGTAGGTTATAAGAACTGTACATTTTATGTTAAACTTTAAAGCCCTGCAAGAAGCACATATACTTTATGTAGCTTGAAAAACTCAACTGGTGTCAGTTTGAGTGCTGTGAAAATACATGAAATCAGTATCACTAAGGTGTTGCAAGTAGGTGTAGTACACGTTACAGATTCTAGGCCTTTGTAAAATTCATGTTACTGGTTACAGAGGATATCTTTTGTTTTGACTCCAAAAATACCTACATGATCAAAGCCTGCTCAACTTTGTATAAGATGTTATTTACACAGTGAGTTCCATGACATAATCATGATGATTCTTCATAACGACAAGAGGCTTAACCAGCAGAAAAAATGCAAGTAGAAGCAGACCAAAGATGAAGCCCATAAAAAAAGGATCTCTGATCAAAAGCTAAAACAAATAAATGGTAGAAATGGAAGACAATTCCAGGGATTTTCGTATAACCAAGAATGCAGACAGAAATTAATGGCTGGCTGTTCACACAGAATAGCAATACAATAGACAACAGTCCTAATGCAAAGTTGGTAAGACATTCTAGCTTTTTTGAGCTCAAACTGAGAAGACTACTTAGTAGAGTTGAAGAAAAGAGCAAGTTGAAAAAACAGTCCCAAAGAGTACCCAAACAAATCCGTAGAACAGCATTTTGAGGAAAACAAGTTTACTGAAGAAAGGTGAAGGGGCTGAATCATAGAGAACACATCCACAGTCTATTTTAGAACAAATAATTATGATATAGCTTTTAAAGGGTTTAGCAAACTACCATGTAAGAGTTACAAGAAACTAATCAAAGTAAGTTAAAACATCTCATGTACTTTAAACCAATGAAAAGATTTAAGCTTTCCAAGACCAATGTCTATAAAGCAGCATACCTGAGTATTCGTTCATCAACAAGACATATCTGTTACAGACTAATAAATGTGGAACAGAAACAACTGTACTATAAATATAGATCACCATCTTACTCTTTAATAAAGCAGGAGAAAATGTCCATTCTTCTGTCCAGAATCAAACACAATCCAGAAGTAAGGAGCATACCTTCCAACAAAGCTGTCCTCTTGCCAAAGAAAAACATCATTTGCAAGGATATTACATTCAATTCCACTCTTTGGACAATCAATAAGACCATTCAGTATTATATTAAACTAAGACTAATAAGAACAAGAGTAAGTTTAGATTTCAAAGAACCCCCTTTTATCAAGAAGAATCCCGAAAAAGCAAATGTTTTTAATTATTTCCAGTATTGCTTTCTTTGCAAAACCTTTTCAATCTGTTGAAAGCATCTTTATTATTTATCTTTTCTATACTCCTGCATGTTTGTTCCTTCAAATACTTTTGCTTAAGGCTTAATTTTGTCTCCTCTTGTTATGTAAAGTGTTTCTAGTGCTGTACTACATTCTCTTAAAATGTTCTTTCTTCTTAAATGTCTAACATTTCCTTTTAAGGAAGAGTTTTTATCAGTTCTTAATTGGATACTTGAATTGGAAATTATTTTGTTGTACATAAAGATAATAAGAGACAGGTTCTAGATTGTTCTTTTTTCTGACTCATAAGTAGTTTCTACCATTTTGAGTTCATAATGAAAATAACAAGAGACTCTGAAGGCCATGAATGCACCTGTGTATTACAAGGTGATTACATTACTGCTAGTGAAAGCCTTGGATTTGATGGTGTCATAACTTAAAGTTTCTGTAAGCTTTCTTACTAAAGATGAGAGTTTGTGAAGATCAATGATGTTTATTCTTGGTTACTAGTAAAAGTCAGTTTCATGCATCTCTGCAAGTTACACAGAAGTAATTTAAGATTGAAACTGGTGGATCTCCGTAAAATGGAATTGACATGAATTACATGTACACTAAATGTAATGGTTCCCTGAGTTCATTTAATAATACAACCCATTCAAACCATCAGGAAGATTGATGCAGTGAATTATTTACAATCATTGTGTACAGTGAAACACTGATATTAAAAGAGTTGCTATTTTTCTATTTAAAGTCAGTTGAGGATACCTGTTATCATTAACTTCTGGCTTTGAATATTATTATTGATGATTGAATTAACTTTAATAGAAAATTATCTATGTTTTTTTCATCAGTTTCCAATTATAATAAAATATAGGAGTATCTAGCAATGAGAAAAATCATAAAGAACCATCTAAGACTTACATTTAAGTCGTCTTTCTAAATAAGGCTGCAACAACATTTTTTTATTTTATCCCATCATAAGGATAATAAGGTGAAATGTTATTTCATAAAATTTGCCTATTTTGAGAATTTAAATTAAGATTATGCTTTTAATAAGTTTGTATTTTGAGGTTTTTATTTGATCCCCAGATGAACTTAGAAGGGAAGCACAAGTGGCCAAGCTACAGTGCATTGAATTGATGGATAACCTATTCTTGAAGTACTGAAGAGAAGAAATGTTCACGTGTTAATGCGGCAGGCCACAGACAACAATTTGAACAACATCTCCGTCATCCTTTGCCACAGAAAACGTCTTTATCCCTGATGCGATTCTTTCTGCCCAAGAAGGCAACATCCATTACGGACCACAACTCCCGAGGGAAACTGGTTCTGCTGCCCACTTTAGTTTTAACCTCCCAATCCCGAGCCCAGTCTCTCTCAGTGGATACGTCTCGCGGCATCAGTACTGAATATTACACTTCAGGTAAGTGTTGAAATTCTTCCACATTAACATCCATGATGGTCTTAATTACAACAAAATTGGGTTACTTGAACTCTTCAGCAACTTAGAATTAGATATTACTATCATAATGAAACACTTTAAATTCCTCCAATCACTTTCGACTTCTAACCTATAACATTCCCTCTTTCTATGCCTGGAAGGTTATAGCACCATACTGCATCTACTACTTGGGGCTTTTTAAAAGTGTATCAGGTTAGATGTATCAACTATACCATGGCACAAACAAAATTAAATTTTTATGCAGATATAAAACAATAAATAAAAGCTTAAAATGATACCTGACCTGGCCATTAGAATATAACAATGATAAATGTAATAGGAAGAAAACAACAAACTAAGCTTAATATGCAGACAGCTGGTCTAAAACTTCGAGAACAATTCTTATTATTCACTTTAAACATTGGAGTAACATTACCACCTGTTGACTGCAATGTTTATTTATCTACAAAAGTTAGTTGATGGAATAAGAAAAAATTGACTTTCATTTTTGCATGGGATAAAAGAGAAGAAGGAACTAAAGTGTTGTATAAGCCATTTAAGTGGGTATGTAGAAGTGGTGTTATTCTAGGCTATTATTTTCAATGAACAGGTGTAAAATAGTACCATTGTGGTTATTAGTAAAGCAGTTGAAATATTGGTGTTTGGAGTTAAGGTCTCCTTGGATGATAGTTTGAAAGCTTTGTTTAATCATCAATTTAAAGGAAGGGAATGCCTTTATTGATAGAGGTTAAACATATATACAACAAGGAGTGAAATAACTATGAAATTAAGAAGATGACTATGTCATAGAATATTCTCATTAACATCAATTATGTGGTTGTTATTGAAAACTCATACCATTATAAAAATGGATGCTCTACTGAGTTTTTTTTTAATGTGTTGTTAGAGCAAGTTTCCAAAGAAATATACATCAACGAATATGTTTTAGGACAAGAACTAGTGTTTGTGCATTCCCTTAGTAAGGTATGGTATTTTGTTTATTTATTGTTCTTCCCATTACTAATATTGGTTAATACAAGTTACCATATCAGATATAATTACTTTTATTTTATTTGTCTTTCTTTATTATACCTTTATTAGAAAGATTTAGCTTAAATTGTGTATTTAGGACTAACCTAAATCTCATAAGCTGACCAAACTTTACAAGATATTGTTACCAGTGAGATAGTTAATTGATGAAACAATGCATTGTAATCTTTATAAGTAGTTAATTAGCTCTACTAATATAATAATGGTGAGCTTGAGTTTTAGTTTTACTCTAAGTACGTAGCTTATTCGGGTCAGAAGTTATTTTCTTCAGTGACAAAAATTCTAGAAAGTCTGGAAAAAGAAACTGCAAAATCAGCTATTGAAATATGATATCACAAAAGAAAATCAGCATGGATTCACTCGCGAGAATTCTATACTTGTTAATCTGTTAACTTTTTTCATAGATGTTACTAGTTTTATGGATGATGGAAAGACTATGGATTTGACGTAAGACTACTCTCTTCTGTGCAGCCCTTAATAACTTCTCGATTGGCAGTCTCTGTCAGGATATGTTTTCAGACAGAATTTTTACTTCATTGTTCAAATTTACTGTTTGTTCTTTGGCCACATATTTTTTTTCTACTGCAGTTTTTCTAATTTTTATAGTTTTGTGAATTCTGTTTGGAGAATTTTTTTTTCCAGTCAACTCCACTGGTTATGCACTCACAATTCCACATGACATGTACCACTGCTGCTGTAACTACTACAGCTGATTGGCTGGCCACTTCAATGACATCTACCACTGCTGCTGTAACTACTACAGCTGCTTTGCTGGCCACTTCAGTGACATCTACCACTGCTGCTGTAACTACTACAGCTGATTTGCTGGCCACTTCAGTGACATCACCACTGCTGCTGTAACTACTACAGCTGATTGGCTGGCCACTTCAGTGACATCGTACCACTGCTGCTGTAACTACTACAGCTGATT